TAATTATTTATTAATTACATAAACATTACATCATTAGTTATTTAATTAACCAAAAAATTACATCTTTATTAATAAAAATTTAATTCTTAACCAAAAAAATTATATATAAGCTAAGCAAACGTGCATTGCACGTTGCTTAAACCTAGTGTTTTAAAAAGTTAGAATAAAAAGTTTTTTGAGTTTATTTTTAAGTATTGATTCTATAAATAGAGAATATATTATGTCTCCGTTTGTTTCTCATTTATCATCCATAAAAATAAAAAATATGACCTTTAGCCATCATATCAAACCATCAATTTTGAATTTCTATCTCTTGTGGGGCGCAATACGGCTATATTTTTCATTCTCATTCTACAAAAATGAGAATCAAACGGGCCATATATATTTAAAAAAGCCTTTTGGAGATGCGCTTAGTCCTTAATTCACATCTTGTTTGTTAAATTAGTGTTAAACTTAAATGAGTAATTGACATGCTATCCTCTAATATTTGTCTATTTTGTGGAATATCCTCCTAATATTTTATTTTGGTGCAAAATCCTGTAAATCACCCAAACGTTGCAAAATACCACTTAATATCCATATCTGTTAATCTACCTGTTAAAAGCAGTTAAGATGGCCAAAATGAATAAAAATCCAAAGGGTATTTTCGTCTCTTCAAATTCAAACACTCACTTAAAGCCCCATTTGCATGGAACGTGAACTAAAAGATAAACCGACAAGCAATTATTGTATAGAAACATCGATGATCATTGTTGACACACAAAAAGTGCAGTTCAATTAAAAGGGCCAAAGAGCAAAGCCCAATTGAAGGTCCAGTGCGAAAGGCCAGATAAGAGTGTGGACAAATGACATGGAAGCCCACAAGCAAAGTAGCGCTATCGTCCAAGCCTGCAGAACGCCCAGAGCCTGAGCAAATAGAATACTCTGTAATCGCCCAAGAGCTATGAGTCCATCATCGCCCAAACGATTAAGTCGCCCAAAGTTCCAGTGAAGACAACGTCCTGTCATTATCCAAGGCAGCGGTTTCAAGCAGTTCATGCCACATCCACGATCTAAGAATCTCAATAGTATGGAGTCATGTGGTGACAGTTATAAACGGTAGTTTTTGACATGTTAGCCATGATAAAGAAAATGGGTGGTTTCAAACAGTTTCTAAATGATTAAAAACTGTCCAAGCTGTATAAAAGAAAGAAGAAGATAACGAAGATAGCCGATAAAATTCACTCTCAAACAGAGAATATGTAATTTACTTTTTCTTAGATTAACTTTAATTATTTCAATTCCCTCGTATTTGTATACTTGCGCCCCTTGGAGGCATCTTGTTCGCGTCCAAACTGTAATCTTCATATTCAATAAACACTCCTTTTTGGGACTTTGTTCAAAGAGGTTTGTCCCTTACACAATCGTCTGATCCATTTTTAATTGTTAGCGAGTAAACACGCGAAACAATCATTTTTCACAATTTTGTTCACTAGAGGTGTTTGCACATCATTATATTATATTTTACCATTCTGTAAATCTATTGATTTGGATGGTTGGATTTGATTATGTACTCAGTTTGGATGATATTTGTTGTTGGTCTAACGTATGTTACCATTCTGTACATCTATTGATTTGGATGGTTAGATTTGATTATGTACTCGGTTTGGATGATATTTATTGTTGGTCTAACGTATGCATTCAGTGTTTCATTTTGCTATCTGCTGGTGTATGATTTATCTTATTGCTGCTTTATGGGATTACAACTAGTTTATTTTGACATGCTAAGGCCTTCATTTTGCTGATTTCTTTTTCTAATTTTAACTTTTTGCTGATTTAAGATTGTTTTGTGCAAAGTTTAACAATTTGGGGTGTTCGCAAGTTTATCATTTTCAGGGTTGTAGTCCACAAAGTTTACCAGTTTTATGTTGTATTCTGGAGAGTTTAACAATTTCAATGTAGTATTTTGTGAAGTTTAACAATTTCAAGGTTGATTTGCACACAAATGTTTGACCAATATACGTGTTCTTCTTCTTCCTCAATACACATGAAAATTCAGAATCAACATAGCAAAAAATCAGAAAAGTTGAATTTAAAATTACAATACAACACTTCTTTTTACAACACTACATGAGATTCAATACATTAGAGTAATACAATAAGAAGAATAGCAACATTCACTAATATCCAATACCTAAATAACAACAAAACTAAGCCCCTGTTTGGCCCCCATTATTTTGCATTTTTGGGGGTTAAAAATTTTTAGAATAGTAATTGATGGGAGAATGTGTGGTTGAAATTTTTTTGATTTGTGTGTAATATCATTTTATTTGATGAATTTGTGGTTGAAATGAAGAGAGAGAAAAATTTAATGTAATGTAATTTAATGGGGGCCAAACAAGGCTAAAAGTGTAATGTTCACCATTCACTAACCACAACACAACAGAAATCACAAAATAATTTCTATCATTCATTGCCCACATCACAGCAAACCACAAAATAATTAGGTAACTTTCTAATAACAATTCTTTAAATATATGACATGCTTTTAATTTTCCCTTATTTTGTATGTATTTAATTCTTCAATTTGTTACATCTTTAATCGATAAATGCTCAACTAAAACCGTATTGACTTGAGTCGCCCGACGCATAGACATGCTGGGCCTGCATAGACCATATTGGGCCAACACAACCTAGAGAAAGAACACGTACTTAAACTGAGCCTAAGGATTAAAAAAATTTTCTTCCTAAGTTAAAAATGTTAAAATGAAAAATGGGTCGACCTGATATTTGTTCAGTCTGGGACCAACCATAGCCCTTATTTTAATGCACACGTACCTACCTACCCAAGTCTCTGGTCCGGTTCGTTTGACACCCTTGTCAATCCAACAAATAGTATTTTTGTAAATTTCACTAGGGCCTCTAAATTTTCATAATCGTGATACTCACGTTTCAAGCTTACAAAAAACATTTATTGAAGTCACCTTTTAGCATGTTTGAAGTTAAGCTCCAATTGGTGTATCTTAAAATTTGAAAAAAATGAATGAAAAAATATGTTTGAATATTTTAAATTATAATGCAAATTTGTTCTAAACATGCACTTAACGTTCAAATAAAAGTTGTGCCACAGTTCTAAAAGGGTTTGGAGTGTGAGTGCAAAAAAGATTGGGGACCCAAATGGAATTTATACTTTCCAAAATGCCCTAGTCTAGAATTCATTTTAACGTGTTATAAAAAAAAAAAAGAATTCATTTTAACGCGCAGTAGCAGGAGAAAGGAAAGAGAAATATCGCCGTTATTACGAGTATGACGTCGTTTTGACTTCGAAACCTCCTAGATTCGTTGTTTCTTCTTCTTCAAAGAAAATAGTATAGCACACTGACTTGCTTCTTGAGCAATTAATTACACGATTGTAAGATTTTAGCAAGTGACCTAAAAAATGGCTTCGAACAACGATCAGAAACAAAGCAGCGGTGGATTGTTTGCTTCCATTGCTTCAACCTTGTCCAATTTTGGCACTACAATGTCCAAATCTGTTAATGGGTATACCCAATATTATCCAATTTCTACATCCTTTACTCTCGAGCTTGCTTGATCTGTGTTAATTTTTCTGTGTGGCTTATGATTGCTTGCTCTGTTGAAGATCCTTTTAACTTGAAGTTATCATTACGAGTTTCCGTTATTTATGAATCGGTTTTTTTTTTTAAATGTAATTAAACGGCTGTCATTCTACAAATTTATAAGTATTTTTGTTGGGTAAGAATGATGATCTTGAATTACTGTAAGCAAAGGACGCATACATGTTTATTGGCATCCTTTCATGTCTTACCTAAGTTGAATGAAAATCAGCGTAGATTCAACCATATGCAACCTCTAGCTGGTAAATTACCTGATGCTTATTGACACATACTTGGGAAATACTTGGATAAGAACGAGTGACAAAAAGCAGTGTACTTTTGCGAAGTTCTCATACATTCTCATAGCTCAATGGGGTTTTCAAACGGATACTAATTATTTTATTGAATTTCTTTACCGAGTAACAAGCAGTCATAAATTTGCAGTGAATATTTTAACATTACTCTTTGTCTGCAAATATTTTAGCTTTACTCTATCTCTGTCAAGAGAAAAACCACTGTACGGTATTATTTGTCCTGATTAAATTCTCAAGATGAAACTTATATTTCTGATAAATAATCAGTGATAATTGGCAATTTTGCATAAGAGAAAGGAAATCAGTTAAGTAGCACTGTGCAATTCCTTTATTTGGCACTAGCTGCAGCTCCTCTATTGATGATTGTAATTTATTCAAGATCAAATTTGTTTTCGTTTTGTATCTTAAGTGGTTGTCATGCTTGAATTTCAGCACATTAACCACGCAAATCACTGTTTTCATGTAATGCAAACAATCGATCAGTTTTTTCCTCTTTTACAAAACTTTTGCATAATTTATCATTTTTTGGGTTTTTTTGGTTTTCTTCTTTAGCTACCATTCATGAATATTGATTCCATTCTCTAGCTTGCTTGGATATGAAGGACTCGAGGTTATAAATCCTGAAGGTGGCACTGATGAGGCTGAAGCAGAAGCCCAAAAAGGAAGGTGGAAGCAAGAGGTATCACAATATTGATAAATCTCCCCATCTGTGCCTTTTGCATTATGTAATGGATAAATATCTTGTCTTGTCCAATTGGAGAATTTTATGCTGTCTTAATCAGTAATAATATAGGCGTTTTATCTAGTTTGTCACTCTATGAATCTCTGTGGATTTGACAAGTTTCTTTTGGACCAGAATCATCTCAGAACAGCTTTTTTATGAAGCTTTGCCTTATAGAATAATCTAAATATGCAATGGGTGTAGAATTTCTTTCACTTGTCTAAAACAGTAATAAGTGTTTTCACTTTTGTCTTGTGAAAGCATATTCTTTCTACGATGGACAAATCAGTTTTACTCTCCTCCCATGTTCCACAATCACTGAGCACCTACTTCAGAACCTTTTTATTTTGTAAATAATTTTTGGTTTGTTTGTTGATACTTGGTCAAAAAAAAAAAAAATTCTCACTTCCGAGTTTCTCCTGCAGGATCGTGACAGTTATTGGAAAATGATGCAAAAGTATATAGGCTCGGATGTTACATCAATGGTGACATTGCCAGTTCTCATCTTTGAGCCTATGACAATGCTTCAGAAAATGGCAGAGGTTTGTGTATAAATACTCATCTTATATTCAAGTGGTTGTGTCCGTGGAATTCACTGATGCGCACAACTTTGTTGACAGTTAATGGAATATTCATACCTATTGGACCTGGCAGATGAATGTGATGATCCACATATGAGATTAGTATATGCTGGTAATATGTTGTTTGCATTGCATTCCTTGCGGCCTCGCTATATTTTGGTCTTTTTGAGGTGATAATGTATATTTCTTGTTGGGTTCAGCTGCTTGGTTTATATCCATATATGTTGCTATCCAACGGACTTGGAAGCCATTTAATCCAATTCTTGGCGAAACTTATGAAATGGTCAACCATGGTGGCATCACATTTATTGCAGAACAGGTAATCTCTGAAGCATCCACTTGCCATCAATCGTCATTCCTCTGAACAAGAGCATGGTTGTTTCTCTCTGTGTCCATGGATGTGCTTAACCTGAAACATACACTTTATTTACTTTTTATGGAATTCACTTCTGAATTCTTAGGACAGTCGATTTTTAATAGGTTTTCCGCTCCTCCCAATTTTCTTTCCATTTTTGTGACATCTAGTGACATTTTTTTTGACAAATCAATTTCACAACAGGTTAGCCATCATCCTCCAGTAAGTGCAGCACATGCAGAAAATGAACATTTCATTTATGATATAACGTCAAAGGTGAAGACCAAGTTTTTGGGGAACTCGCTTGATATCTACCCTCTTGGAAGGTAAAAGTTGTATTTTGATCGTACCTCTAAGTCCATGCTATTATCATATAATATGTTCATTAGAAAGATGTTTAAATGAGTTCGATATAATGTTGTTTCCTCTGCTTGTGTGCATAATAGTTTTGGACCTAATAAATGTCATTGGCACAGTTCTGGTTTTACACGAAAACACGAGAACATTTATTGCTGATTTTATGAAGCATGTTTTTGTAACTCTTTATTGCATTATTTTGCAGGACACGACTGGCTCTCAAAAAGGCTGGCATAGTCCTGGATTTGATTCCACCTCCTTCCAAAGTAAACAATTTGATTTTTGGACGAACTTGGGTTGATTCACCTGGGGAGATGATATTGACAAACTTGACATCGGGAGACAAAGTTGTTTTATATTTTCAACCCTGTGGATGGTTCGGGTATAATTAACAATGCCTGTTGTCATTATAGCTGTGGCTAACTGAGTTACTTTGTAGTTGTCTCATATTTAGTTAGAGATTCGAACTAATATTTCATGTAGTTTTAGTAATATCTATTATTTACTCGAGTGATGTACTCAATACTTGTCATCTCAAATTAGGGGTGTCAAAAGGCAGGTGGGCATGGCCCTTTCACTGTAGTGGGCCGGCATTGCTCTATTAGTTGTTGCCCCTTCACTTTTTTTAGACAAAGGGCCCTCGTGTAGGGAGGCATGGTGCCTGTGAAGCAGCCCAGTTTGTTTTGATACTCCTACCCAAATTTGTACACGTTGAGATTAAGGATTGACATTCTTGCTTTGTTTGCAATTTCAGTTTGCTGATTATATCTATATGCATCTGTTTGTCCAGTGCTGGCCGCTATGAAGTGGATGGATACGTATATAATGCTCAGGAAGAACCCAAAATTTTGATGACCGGGAAGTGGAACGAGTTTATGAGCTATCAACATTGCGACTTAGAAGGGGAACCAATGCCAGACACTGAATTGAAAGAGGTTAACTTAAATTAGATTGTCCCTTGTGTATTTCTTTTCCCCATTGTGTGACTGATTAAGCCCCCGTTTGAGCTCTATTTTGGTAAATGTATTTTGGAATATTAATTTTTTGGAGAATGTGTGTTTAAAAAAAGGGAAAAGTTTTTGGTTTATGTGTAAAATTATTTTATGGGAGAATGTGTGGTTAAAAATGAGTTTTGAAGAAGTGAGTTTTTGTAAAAATTGGGACAAAACATAGGCTAATTGCATATTATTGAGCATCAGTTAATCATCTTGCACTAAATTCTTACCTTGCATAATGGGGTAGGTGTTATTCTAAATAAGAAATATTTTTCTCTGTTTCATATAAGTTAAACTTGGTCTAGCATTTACATCAGGTGGGGTTGCACAATATGACATATGCATTAATTCGAAGTTCTTTTGTTTCCTTAGTGGGCTGTATGTCTGCAGTTGTACTTTTGCTGCACTCATCTTATTGTTATGTCGTTTCTAGTGATGACTAGCCGTAGAACTACTTTAGAAAAAATGAACTTTCCACTTATGTCTTTTCCAATTGCAACTTCCTGTATCATCTGCCCTGAAATTATTGGAGAATATCACATTCTTACAACAACGATGAAGTAAACTTTCTTCCCAGTGGGTCATCTATTCAGTTCATCGCTATATCTTAAAACTATATCTTGAGATGCCATATTACTTTTGTTCTACCCTCCCTCTTTTGACATGTTCTATTATAAGATCACATCACTCTTATAGACCACCTAAGTCGCCATTCTCTTAAATTATCCGCAATTAGTGTCACCTCATTTATTGGCGTATATTCTATTCCAACGTGCTTTTTTGTTGTATATGCTATAACCATTTGAACAATTTCTGAGTGTGTTTCTTTTCTTATTTTATCTCATTCCACTTACAGCATTTAAACAAGGATTCAATCTGAATTCTCTCTTTTCCTATCCTTACTATGTCGTGTCCTGGCATACATGTCGTTTCTACTGCGGTTATCTTATTGGTATACTGTTTTAAGAGATTAACAACATTTGACCATTGGATGAAATATGAAAGAACCGGTCAAATCTCCGGTATTCTTTCTAAGAATCTACGGGCTTTTCGTGTGTGATCTGTCGTATCGTGCTTCAACCGCATCATGATATCTGATCCTTCTCATGTTTTTAGCATTTTGCTTCTTTATAATCATTAGCCAGCTCATACGTAAAAATTGGTAGTCATGGAGAAACTCAAGCCATTAGCATTATTGTGCTGTCTCTTGTGCAGGTTTGGAGAGTTGCTGATCTTCCCAAAAAAGATAAATTTCAATATACACATTTCGCTCACAAGTTAAACAGCTTGGACACTGCACCAAAAAATCTATTATCCTCTGATTCTCGTCTACGTCCAGATCGTTATGCACTTGAGAAGGGCGACCTATCAAAAGCTGGTTTAGAAAAGAGCAGGTGGACCTCTCTCTCTCTCTCTCTCAACGTATATAACAACACATTACATGTCATAATTTCGATATCTGTTCCTTGTTCAACACTTTTGCAGGCTAGAGGAGCAGCAAAGACACGAAAAGAGAACCCGGGAAGCTAAGGGCGATCAGTTTACACCGAAGTGGTTTGACTTAACAACTGAAATTTCTCCCACACCTTGGGGTGATTTGGAACTATACCGCTATAATGGCAAATATGCACAACATTCTGCTGCCATTGCTAAATCAGGCAGTATCAAAAAGATCGAAACTGGATTCTTGGACTTCAACCCATGGCAATATGACAATTTGGCTGTGGCTGAAGAATAAAATCTTCTATCCCATGTTATCATTTACATTTATAATCTCAGTAGTCGAAGGTTTATATTCTGTTGCAACAAATTTCGAAAATCCATTGAGATTTGCATGTGGAAGATTTCATATATTTTGTTGTATTGTAGTAATTTTTGTTTGAAGTACAATTTTTCAACTATTTATACTCGATTACAGCAGTTGCATGTACCCATGTAATCAAATAAACCAAGGAAAAACGATACAAAAAGAATTAAATCCGTAAAGTACTCTTGGCTGATATTTAAGGACGATTGATATGTCACTCGGGCAAAGCCCTACTCCGTGGTGAAGGTCTCGAAATCTGCTGCAATATCTTTATTCTGCATTTAACAGAGAAATGCACCAAATTGGGTTACTCGGATTTCTTCAAGAACCGAGAATTAAAACTAAGAATTACGAGCGAAAGAACACCACGATCCTCCAAAACTCTCATGCTCAGGTGGAGGATAGATGTAGCAGACTATTCCGCGGAACATAATGCTCAACTGAGTAATTAAGGCACAAAGTCTGCTAGATCCTAATGTCCGAATCATCCTCGTTTTGCTTCCGATTGACAAAGTAACATTTCTCTACTCGATACTATCTCCTATGAGAAAAACTTCACCATTTCTAAAGCCACAATTTCAGATAATGTTTAGCCACAACGTGGATGCAGTTTATCAAAGACACGACTTCAGAAAATCAACAAAACCATCGACCTGTCAATGCAATCAAGCTATTGCTAAAAGCTTAAGTGCTTAACTCTCTTTCCTAGATTATTAGATACAAATGCAAAAATAGAAATCCATATTATTAGATAGACATACCATTACTAGATTCTCTTTTTATCATTTTTTTCCAAAGACCTAAATTTTCTACAGTCTGCTGGAACGATCATCCTGGTAGTTCACACGAGAAGAGAACCAAAATGTAAAGGGAATTGAACTCATAACATATGTAATGCACAAATTGAAAGAGTTCAAAGAGTGCATGAGTTGCTGCAGACTTATTGAGATTACCAACATACAATGCACATTGAACTAAGAATTAAAATCTGGCAGTTTGAATACAAAATGGCAGCATCAGGTCCTCAACATTGTTATAGAAGCCAATTCCATTGTAGCGAGATTTGTTTTCACGAATCCCGTTATTACAATAATAGAGAGTTATTGGACCAAAATACTAGTTAGAGCAAGACGTGGTTAGCTCTCTATTTGTATACAGAAGACAAAATGAAGAGAGGATTTAAAAAATTAAAAATAAATGAACTAGTATCTTGGGTTTTTCAAAACAAATCAAAATGCTCCAAGAAATGTAAATTCTTTTCTGTAACTTTTGGGAGGGCTCTTTTTAAGTCCAAAAGCACTTGGATGATTGGTTAATGTTAAAGAATGAACAGTTTTTTGAGCTTCTCTAGAAAATCTCTACATTCAGCTTATAAGAGAAGCTGAACTTAGTATTTATTGAAACTTTTAATTTACAATATTATCCTTATTAATTTGTATACAGCTGGACCTTTAATATTTTTTCCACACACGTGCATAACTTTTGAAGCTCATCAATAATTCAAAATTCTTCACTCCAAGTGTGGTGCAGTCTCCACGATATTTCTGTTCCATCGAATAAAATGGAGTTGACTGCATATTGATATTAGATGCAGCAGCATCTATGGTAAACAGGTTCCTTATATATTATAATTTATAGATTAGCCGTTAAGTTTTTCAAGTTCATTTGTGTCTCCTTTCCTCATGATACAAAGCCACGCAAAGGTTTCTAGATTCACAGGTTCAACTCCACTTCAGTTGACAATGGAATCGAAGTAGTTACAACTTTTTACCCTTGGATTTTGTAAGGACCCAAAGTGACAATAATCATTATTTTCCAGAACAATATACAAAATTTGATTTCCAGGTTTTAAAACACAAGTCGAAAGAGGAAAAATGAACTGCAAAGAAGATTGTATTAGGACACCTTAGTTTTTCAACAAGCATTTCATTTCTCCCTTGTTTTCTGGTAGTAGTCAAACAATGGAAAATAGTAATTCGCTATATATTTTATAATTTCTCCTCTCCATTTTCTATGTTTCACAAAAGATCAAAATATAGCATATTACACCTAAATTCACTCAACATTACTAAAAATAAGTACCTTACACTGTTGCATCCCCAGTTGAAATAAATTCACTGCTCCTCCGGTGGACTTGGCTCATCAAACCATCTTGGGGGATCAAAACCAGATCCACCTGTCATTTCAAATTCACACCCGCATTGCTTTTTCTTTTAATTGAAACAATATGGTAATCATGACACATTTCTAGCCACTATCACTCAATAACCAAAAGAAGATAATAAAATGAAAGATAAGGGCTTCATAATTTTCAGAAAGTCTTAATGACGACATTTTCTAATTTGTAACCTTATCATAAAAGGAATAGAATCAACAGGCTACAAACACAGAAATTTCAGAAATTTAATAAATTTGACGGTTATATGGTTGTGAAAGATTAAAAAAAGGAAGCAGCAGTATTACCAAGAGGATTGCAACGACAAAGACGCCAAGCAGTCAATATGGTTCCCTTCGCAACTCCATACTTCTTGTAAGCAATCATCGAATACTCACTACACGTTGGGACAAAACGACAACTATTTGGCAACAATGGCGAGATTTCCCCTGTAATATATAGCCAGTATAAAAATTTAAACTCCAAAAACTACACAATTTTCAGAATAATTTGCATCAAAAAGTAAAATGATTATATATATATATATAATCAATTTGGATGCAGACAACATGTATTAATAGACAGTGAATCTTTCTTCCATTTACATCCAAAATTAAGATCTAGTAGAAATTAATTAATTCAAGGAAACCAAATACTAATTGTGATGGAAGAACAGCTCACTTTTGTAGAACTTCAGCATAGACAACGCAGCTTTGACTCCTAAATTATTCACTTCATCATCTGAAATCACAAGGCCATTTTTTTTTCTTTTATACATTTAATTCAACTACAAGCATCAAAATAAACAGCGCACACACAATTACGAGATTCCAATCCACACACACACATTGCTCTGACCGGAATCTTTTTCCAACTCATTAAAAACAGAGAAGCACCTTCGACACTGCCATTTCTAGAAAAAGAAGAGAAGCACAAATTAATAATAGCAAAAATTATTTTCACATTCATAATTAAAGAAAGAGAAAAAATGAAGCGTTCTGCTTCTAGAAAAAAAATATAGAAATCAAATTACACTGTTGGAGGAGGAGAGAAAATATTGATGGCGCTTAAATATCAGGGAGAATTTGGAGGGATTCAATTTGAAATTAGGGTTTGTGGGAGAAAAGGATTTATGGGAAAAATTACAGTTGAGTGAGAAAACTAGCGCCATTTCTCAAACCGTCTGAAAAAAAAACCCATCTTCTGTTCAGTACAACGTAAAAAATATGGGAAAATTACATGTTTGGTCACTCAACTTTCACTAACATCTCAATTAGTTCACATAATTTCCTTCTGTTGCAATCTAGTCACTCAACTTTGACTATGTTCCTACGTTTGGACGGGTGAATTTAACGATAAGAACTCGAGACTTTACCTACAAAGGTGAGAATTCAATAATTTACATTTTAAGATTTTTTATTTAATTCTATACCAAACAAATTTAATTAAAGCATTTTGAAATATTTAAAAGATCCATTTTTATTAGGAGGAGTACAGCAAACCCCTCGTATGATTGATTGTGAGAATATTCAAGCAAGTGTTTTGAGCTTTCGAGCATTGATAATATAACGATTCAAACTCTGTGCTGAAACTGTTAACTTACGTATTCAGTTTCAATAAAAATTGGAATGGTTCTAGGATAGGAAATGTAAATGGAATTAAGTGAGTAAATGACAACAATGAAATAGAAATAAGAGGATTTATTTGAAATACCATAATTCTAGGATCGAAAATATTTTAATTTTTTTGAATATTTATACAAAATTATGAGATACTGTCAAGTAGTAAATTTAGAGCCTGTTTGTCTACCATTATTGGTAGAAAAATGGAGTAAGGAATAGTATTTTTTGAAGAATGCGTGGTTGAAATTTAAATTAACTTTATTGGTTTGTGTGTGGAATATTTTATTGAGTGAATATGTGATTGAGATTGTTTACTGTAGAAAATAATGTTTGTAAAATGGTAGACAAACTGGGGATTAATATTGTTGTTTATTGAAATAGATAAAGAATAGGCAATCAATCTGGGGATTATACACTGCATGACCAATCAAATACAAAGAAAAACAGTATATATCTTAGAAAATTCATAAAATTTACAAGATAAAAAAGTCACAACTTACAACAATTTCACTTTCTACTAGAGAGACTGAAAGAGTTAACGAGAGAACTATTTGTCTATTTCCTTTTTATATAACCTCTACAACCCGAATTTCCACTGAAGTAACCTATCTAGCCTCCGAAGATTAATCAACTCGACTCATTCGAAAGATTAAACATTCGTTTGTCATCGGGTACTATGGTTCCACAGTCGAGAAAAAACGAGGTTTATTTTGGGGTCGCTGCGTTTCCATTCCCTTTATCATACTTTGTACGAAAGCGAAGTCCAGAACTAACATTTCCTGATGTGGGGCAAACCCAGCAAAGATAATTTGGACCTAGAATCTGCAAGAATCGAGCAAACAAATATAGATGCACAAGAAATAAGACCTGGTTAGATTCATAGACGATTACTCTTCCAATATTCAAGAAACATAGCAGGACAACAACAATTGTGAGGCAGAGGTAAACAAATATCTTACTGATGTCACGTTCTCATATGCACCCATATTATATGGATTTGGATAAAGATGGCGTCCTTTTACAAGAGGCGTAGCTCTCACACCTTCATAGTACTGTCAATCGGGAAAAGAATCAAGATAATAAGAATTTGTTTGGCTATCAATTAAAAGATGGTAAAATCAATGTCACGATTCACAAACCTCG